TGCACCCATGAAAAAAAAAATAAGTCAGCTCTGCGGTATTGATTTTTTTTTGGGGGGGGGGGGGGGACCCAAAAACATACTCCCCGCAAATCACTGGCGGGACACAGAACATAAAACAGTGTTCTGAGATTTCAATACAAGAGCTGACTACTTCCTTTCCAGAGATAATGCTCACTGTTGATTGTTCCGATGAGAGAATATTAATATGCACTTACTTCAAATATTATATAACTTACTACATATACAAACCAAAATACAGTGAGGCAGATTTTCAGGAAACCCCTCAAAAAGATTCTCAGCTGGCCAATTGCCCATTTTTGCTTTTTCTTTGGCTTTTTATAAACACTCTTTGCATCACATTGCAAAATAGGGGACATCCACCTCAAGGGAAGGACGTTAGGACAGAAGAAGAGTACACATCACGAGTCACACTGCATTGACGTTTGACTTCCAGTGGTGAACGTATTTTTAATCTCACAGGACAAAAACAAAAAAAAAAAAAAATGTTTTACTTCCAGTGGTGAACTTATTTTTAATCTCACAGGACAAAAAAAAAAAAAAAAGAATGTTTAAAAGTGCGACGGGAAATTTAGCATTGCACCTTTACTTTCAGTGATGAGTGTTCAAACTATTACCGGGTGAAAGTGCGTGTTGAATTTTAGGTCAAGGCTTGATTCCCAAAGGCGGCCCATGTTTGGGAATCTCTTCGAGTGTTTCATGTAAGTGGCTCAGAGACAGTGCATGAGCACAAACAGGCCCTGGCGTGGCGCCCGCTCAGCCATGCCAAGGGACATTATTTGGCAGCTGTCAGCTCTAATAGGAATAGAGCAGGGTGGGAGACAGATCCAGGCTCTGTACCAAGCCTATAAGGGAGCACTATCTGGCAGCCATAGCACAACTGTGTGCGCATTTGTGTGTGCAGAAATGTTCGTTTGCCCCCAAAGACCAGTGCATCAGACCCTCTGTAATGATGAGTCTTCCTTTAGCCGACATTTGGAGAACTGACATTGTGTGTGCATTTTTTTTTGTGTGTCATCGGGGGAAAAAAAAAATGTGTTTGCGGGTTTCCTTCTCATCGCAGAGGTTGGCTAGTAGTAGTCTCGTGATGAAAAGAAAAGAAAATGCACAAAGTGATGACTCGCCCGTTGCCTTGGACTTCATTATAAAGGTTTCATTCTGTATACAAATCTGAACATCAGCTCCAATTGCTTGCCAAAGAAAGCTCAATACGGAATCACCCCAGTCGTTGCATGACACATTTTCCAAGCAACTTTGGTAAATCTAGAAAACCGTCACTGAAACAAACAAACACACAGGGAATATCCCTGTGGCTGACCGGTGACCAGTCCAGGGCGCAGTCTTATCAGCTTGATTGGGCTCCAGATTATCTGGCACCCTGAACAGTTGGGCAACCAAAACAAAATGGCTGGATGATTGTTTCGATTCTTGAAATTCAACTTTTAATAATGTATGCGCAGGAATGCATCGTTTCCGTGACTCCCTCGGACCTTAGAGAGTTCACTGTTGTGTATAAAACCAGCAGGACCGCGTATCTGCCTCCGTGTTTCCGTCCACATTGGGTTAGCGGACTTTGGAATTCATCTGTGGGTGGTGTTTACTCCACACTAACCTGCTCTGACAGTGAGGAGTGATTCAGCTTCAGAATGCTGTGTTATATTATATGCCCCCCCCACCCCCCAAGGAACTACACCGTGTGTGCGTTCGCGTGTTTATACAATAGTGAATGTCGTATTCAATGACCAGGGGGTGGTTTCCTCACTTTATCTTTAGCATCTTTGGCAATTCAAAGTGGGGAGCCTATTTAGCTACACGGCAAGCATGGAGCCACCACAATCTTGTGATCATGTGAGAACTTGCGCCGCGGCAGCTGTTTGTTTTCACAGTGGTTGACTCCTTCGCCCTCCCCAATATGCGATTTGCAAACTCAAGTGCGGGCGCCTTCTCGCCTCCACTCTCAAAAGCCAGAGGTCAATGTGGGTGAATGAATTAATCATGCACGTTTTTGGTCACGTCATAACAACAACAAGCTAGTTAAGTGTTTAGTTGGGTCACTTGACCGCCCCTGGGAACTGTTGCATATAAATATGGCTCGGAATTGTTGTTTGTTTGGTGCTCTAACAATGTGAGGTCCAATTCAACTTAAATCGAAAGCGCTCCTGTCATTCTTTACTCGACTAGAACACGATTCCTGGAAATTTATGGGAGGAAAAAATACATGTATTTTTCGCGATGCGGAAATTTGGAAATATTCAACGTAAGCCACTTTTTACACTTGAACTATCTATCAGTTTTCTACACAGCTTGTCTTTATGCATGGTACTTCCTGGACTGGTCAGCAGCCAATTACAGGGCAAATATAGACAAAAAAATAAATCAGACCACCAGTTTCATGGAAACCAATCGAAACATACTGAAAAACCACACACACACACATACGCACACACACGCGCACACGCGCACACACACACACAAGAATTCCAGTTTGGTACTGGTAACTTATTACACTGGTATAACACTGTTGTACATGGTAACTGTACGAGAGTATATACATTTTATATAACAGACCAAAAGGTCTAACTTCTTTTCCCAAATGTTAAACTTCAAATCATCTTCAGGCCTTAAAGACAAGAGTAGCCACTTACGACGTCTCGTTAACCTTTGGTCTGGATCTATTTCTGGGTACCCGTGATCTAAATTGGACGCCACACATCCACTTCATTCCAGTGCACAAAATTGGTCGGCTGAACATCTCATTATTTTAATTAAAAGGGAGATTAGATTCATTGTCCTTTGCACGCAATTCCCTCAAAACCGTCGCCGCCAACATTCAGCTCCATCAGATCAGACTGCAAAATGTCACCAAACGGCCTCAATCATCAACTGGTACCGCAGTCGCAGTTAAAAATGGAACTTCTCTCAGACATAACACTTTTTTTTTTTAACTGATACTGATGAAAAGACTTAGATGTTTGATTTTATAATAGGAAATAATATTTGAGCAGCAGCTTGTTGCACGCAATGAATAATATATGAAATTAATTATTAAAAGGAACAAAAGACAATTCAGCTTTGAGCAGAGCTGTAAAAAATATATATATTTTTTAAATGGACTAACAGTAACATATCTGGTTTTCGTCTCACAATTTGAGCAATTTATTTTTTACATTTTTACGATGTATCCAACTCTGGGTTTTTTTTTTTGATTTATTTTTTTACATTTTTACGATGTATCCAACTCGGTTTTTTTTTTTTTTTTTTTTTTAAACTGAGTCAAAATGACTTCAATGACTCGTATTGGTCCAAGAACAACAATAGGAAGGAGGCGGGGGGGGGGGGTTGATTGACGCCCAAAGTGGAACGCTCGGCAGACAAGATTAGACGAGGAAAAAGAAGATCTTTCCTGGGACATAGATAGAGAACAACAAGCGCTTTTAAGCATCCTGAAGGGGATGAAAACACAGTTAGAGGAAGGGGAGGGCGAGGGAAAGTGGCTCAGAGCTCCCTCTATTTGCATGGAAAATTAGAGCTGGGGGCGAAGAGTGGAAGACCGATAACGGCAGTCCAAGTGGACAGATATTAAAGAGATGAAAGAGAATCGGCGAGCGACGAGCCAATGCAAGGGCAAGCGTGATGTCGGCGCGAGCGCGGCTACATTACGTTCTTCATGGCTGCACTCTTCTATCTGTCCTTGTAGGGGCGGGGGGGGGATGTCACTCACTCACTGGCCTCATTTACAGCGAAGTAAAATAAGAATAACCAACATGGTAGTTTGCCCATATTGACTGTCGGATGTCAAAACGCAAATCTGTCAGGAGGGTCACAAATGACAGCTTGAAGAATGTTGACCAGTACTGTACGTGTTGATATCACAGTTAGGGCTCCCCAAACATCATCAGGTAGCGATAAAAGTCGTCCCTGCTTGCACGGTACTCTGCACTCTGTGCAAGGAGGAATCACACCCCGCAGGTGTGCGTGTGCGGCAAAGCGTGCAGCGACGGCGTCATGGCGTGAGAGCGAGGCTACCTAGTCGAGGTCGCGCAGTTGTGGCAGCATTTAGGTTTTGCTCATGTAGGCATGTTTAGGGCTCTCATAACCAGGACGAACATTCGAGTGGCAGATACTGAATACAATGTTCACCCGACAATATTTTGCTGGAGATTTGTTATTTTGGGGAAAGCAGGTGACATTTGTGTCACGTTTCCTTTTGTAAATTCCAGTTGTAGTCACCAATCAAGTATATTAACCCGTTCAGGGACGCCGGATACCACAGTGGACAGCTTATCATGTTATCTGGTTACAGGTAACCACAGTGGACAGATTATCATGCTGTCTGGTGACAGGTTATCGTTATTGGTGCATGAAAGGGTTAAAAAAAGACGTATTGAAGATTCAAACAATGTTGCCCACAGGAATTGGTTCGCGCAACTCAAGGGACACACGCTTCTCATAAGCAAGCGCAAAGGCGAATTCACTTCTGCTTATTCATGAAATGTCACTCCGGGATGGAGCACACCGCAAATGAAACGTGTACGTTTATTCAAAGAGAGATGAGTCGGTTCCAAAAGAACTTTTATCTGCTGGTGCAGGTGTGAGATTTTTCTCCCGAATTGATTTAGTTTTGAGACATCCGCATCTGAACTTGTTCAAAGGCATCCGACAGCCAACGACGGCAACGGGGGGGAAACTCATTGTTCGACATTCCCGTTGGAAAACATCCAAAGACACGTACCTTTTTGTGACGATAACTCAAAAGAGCTTTCGGTTAGAGTCTGTAGATTTACGGAGAGGAACATTGGACAGCTTATATAAAGGCTGTTTGGGGGGTCGGGGCGGGGGGAGAGGGTATGATAAGTGTAAGCCTTACCATTTAGGCCCAAGTTCTCTGTGCTAAGATTTTTTCTAGCATTGACAGTTCTTGCCCCCTTTTTTTGTCTCGTTTTCCTCTTTGCTTGTTGTCATGCTCTCGTTCTTCTCCTCAGGACTTTGACAGAGCTGCTGAAGCAGCCAGGCGAGGCGGGAGTTGCGGATGGAACCGGGATACACCACCCTATAGGGACCAACGGGATCTCGGCCAGGGCGTTACGCTCCAACAACGGTCAGTCCTCACACTCCAGCTCACCCTCAAACTGACAAGGCGGAGTTGGCCATTTTGGTTTGTTGCCATTAGTTTGGTGACGGGCGAGTGGAGGATGGCATGGAGGGAAGTAACCACGCACACACACACACGTTGCCACCTGAATGTCCATTAACTAGTACACGCAAGTGACAGTGAATATATTGAGGGGCTAAAGACACCAATATGTGCTTATCACTCGTCATGACACACACACACACACACACACACACACACACACACACACACACACACACACACACACTAGATAGGTTATACGTAAACAAGACGTAATTAGCCTCGTTCCAGATCCCGACCCACGGAGTGAATGCTGGAGTGACCCATCTGTTTTTCTCTTTCTTTCGACTTTTTGACAGCACAAACATACGCACGGGCATAGAAATTAAGTCTTATTTCACAAGGACTCGTTTGCAATGACTGGTGGTGTGTTTAGTTCAAGGACAAAAAGGTCCCCGCTGCGTCACATCTGCGAATATGAACTATTTGTTGCCCGGCATTCATGTCATGGATTCATTGCTGTGTGTCTGGTATGTGCCACAAAGCCAAATCATCGTGCGGCACAAGACGAACAAAAGATCATCAAACATCAACGTAGAAAATGATTCATATGTATTCTGTATACGTTGATTCATCTCTAATTTATGATCCTGCTTCACACCATTGCAAACACGACATGCGATGTTCACTCGTGCATGTAGACAAAAGGGGGGAAAAAAAAAATAGACTAACTTTCATCTTCCCACCACAGCTATAAACACATTTTGGCCTCATTTTCACCCCATGCTGTGCTTATTAGCACTCTTCTATCTTGCGCCGCTTTTCTTTCTTCCCCTGCTATCGAATTCTACCGTCTTTACTCCACCCTGCCTTCTCGCACCAATTTGCTGTCGTCCTTCACTTCCATAACATCATTATCTGGTAAAAAAAAATAATAATAATATTTTGCACTGTGCATTTTGCAATAGCCTGCATATTGTTTTGTTTTGTTTATTCAATGGCCCTAGAAGACGTACGTGGGTAATTAGACCACCGCAAACATTCCATCGTGCGCTCCTGCGCTCTCGCTCATGTGTTTATTATTTTAGGATTTATGAAGCTCTTTCCACTCACAAATTTTAAGCATTCCTTCTCTGCTCCTCACTAACTTCAAAAGTAGGTTACTTCAGCGTTATGCGCACTGCTTTTTTGTTTTTTTTTTGGGAGGGGGCGGTGGGTTAACTGCTCATATTTTACCACTATAAGAATGCAGGCTTGTTGGCAATAGGAGTGGAAATACACAGAGATGACAGAGAGGGCAGGAGGATGAAGTCTTCGAGATCATGCTGTGTCAGCTGTCTACGCACAATTACCTCTTAATTAAACTCATTTAAATCCTCCGGGCCAAAGAGATGGCGGGTGCGACTGAGAGACACAGAGAGAGAGAGAGACGGGGACCCGCACCGTCCTTTATTATGTCGGAGGATTGAGATAAACCCAGATAAATGAGATGACGGTTCTCGATGATGATCACCGACAGGGATGATCCCGTGCTTGTGTTTGGCGAATTACGCGCACATCCGTGCTCCTGAAACACGCATGCGCTAGACGTGAGATGATATACTTGCGGTCAGATGTGGGCGTGGTCTTAAGGTGCGGAAAAAGAGCAGCGGCAATCAAACGTAATCCCGAGCGATAAGAGTGTGACAAAGGGAGCGTATTACTGCAGCCTTTTACTTCTTCCGCTGAGTCTTTGTTGCTTCCAGTACTTTGAGCGCACGACATAGCGCCTTCATTCGTCGACAGAATTTGGCAGCTTTTGAGCTACCACGTCGGATGATTTAAGTAATTGGCCTTAACAGGTAGAGGAGCCACAAGTCATGGGAAGTATCTGATGAACACGAGCAGAACATGTTTTTTTTTCCCCTCAAGGTTTTAAAACTGGAGTCAAATCCTCTAAGCATCCACTTCACCCCACCCCTCCTGAGCTCATTTTGAGCCTGAGATATTTTGGATACTGCTTAAGAGATGAAGGGAAGGATGAAACCTGCAGGATGTAAAATTTGAGGAATGTTTAGGAGAGAAAACTGGGCAGGGGGGGTGGGGGGGGGGTAGCATGGAAAGAAATAGGTCGGGTGATGTTACAGTTGGTGAAACAGGACAGAGATGATGAAGCGAGCAAAAAGCAGTTTTCAAGAGAGGCTCAAGCGGGCGAGGTGAAGAGAAACAAGCAAAGGGAGAGCAAGATAGAAGAGCCAACATGCTGCTAGCTGCGAGGGGGACAGCTGGTCAGCTGCTGCCCCGCTCTCTTCTAGTGGGGAGAGCTGCCCTCAGGACAGCCACCCTGCTCTCCACACACACACACACACACACACACACACACACGCACACACACACACACACACACACACACACACACACAAACCTGCTCTCGCAATTTTGCACGCCCCCCCCCCCGTACTCGCAGTCCATTTGCAGATGGTTGCATGTAAACTTACAAACAAACTGCACCTTAGCTCGCGTCACCTGAACACATGACAGAAAGCGGCGCACGAGTGCACGCACTTCCTTTGGCGGATGGGGGAACAACGCTTGTGGGAGGTCAAAGAGCGGCTGGGAGGAAGTGGAAGAGAGAGGAGGTGAGAGATTATGTAAAAGGCGGAAAGAGAGGCAATGGGAGGCAAAAGAGGGGAGGAGCGAAGCATTTTGACTGTTCAAACTGAGCTTTGGGCGTATATTTCAGGAAAAGTTTGGATGAACTCCAAATTGGACGGCTCTTTGAATTTAACCGATGCAACGGTTTCAGCAGCGTGAACAGCAAAAGCACCACCATCTGAGGAAATGCAGACCCATGCAAGCGTCGCATGCACCGTAAAATGGAACGAACGCCTCTCAATTACGACAAAATTAATGACCCAAGTCACTATTAAAAGATACCCGTGAAAAATGAAAATGAACTTCATTTGGTCTTATTTTTACCTCTTAGTTGAACACTGCTCCGGTGATATTTGCAGGCTGCTTTAACACTAATATGAGTGACTCTATTATTTTTTTTCTTTGCAAAATATGAAACGGGGATGGCGATGCTGAATTATGAGGCGCAAATATTCAACTGCAGAGAATGAGCTCGTGCTTCTGTCAATGGACGAGGCGTGGAAGACTGAGCTAGCAATCAGCGTGATAAGAAAATGAGTATCATGGGATCCCGCAGAGCGGCTGTTAAGTGAAAAGACGTAGGGGGTCGTTGTGTGTTAAGGCATTAGCGTGTGTGTTTACATCTGTGCGCCCTTGAATACCATGGAGTGTCATCAGAGTGCCACATGGGGCCAGTGCCAATTATATCCTCTGTGAGCTTGTCAATGACACCCCGCCGCAGAGACAGCTTGAGACACAGAGGGATGACAGCCGAACCGAGCATGAATATATATTCGGAATTATTTCGACATGTATGTGTGTGAGTGTGACCTTCGTTCGAGCGTAAAAAGCAGACGACCATGCGTGAGCCGACACGGGCTCGGCAATTTGTCTTGATGGCTTCTTATACGACTTTTATTTAGAAACACAGAACGAGAGGGTTCTACTACTTTTTATGTGACTATAAACAACCGGAAGCCATCACCGATACGCGTTTAGGCCGCTGCAGACAGCTTTAGGGTGCTTAAATGTTAATGGCACACAGAAATGTAGAAATCTGCAACTTCGATGACTTGGCATACGTTTATAAGCAACGCGCCGCAGAGCCCTTGGATCGTTTGCATGGGTTGAGGATAAACGGTTGCAATGCAGAGCCACAGCTATAACACTGATGGACAAAGTTCCGGATAGCAGTGTCTTTCAGTCTGACAAGCTGAAATTTGCAAACGGTTTTATAGCCAAGGACAGATGACGTGGACAGATGAAACCAAAGTTGATTTGTGTGGAAGGAACACACAATGCTATGTGTCAAAAAAAGAAATCCAACATCAAAAACTTCACTGCCACCATGGAGGGGGCGTCATGGTTTGTGACTGTTTTGCTTCCTCAGGGCCTGGACCTATTGCTGTCAAGGAAACCATGTCACCATCTATCTGCCAATTAAAGCTAAACTAATGTTGGGTAACGCAGTAAGACGACAATGACAGAAGTACAGCTAAATCAAGATCAGAAAGAAGAAGAAATACGCTTTTCTGGAGTGCGCCGGTCAGAGTGCTAACCTCCAACCCCTTTCAAATGTTGGGGCAAAACATCAAGAGTGATTCATAGCAGTCAACCCAAGAACACTGCTGAACTCTAACAAGAGAATTCCTCATCCCAATTCCTCATGACGATTGTCCACATCAGATCTGCAGCTACAGGAAATTGAGCATGGTTTCACAGAAGAAAAAAATTACTTGGCATACAGGAAACCTGCACTGTTGTAAAAGCATTTACGTAATTGTCTGCATTATAGATAACTTTATATGCTCACAAGCAAACAGCTCATCTCACTTAGCAGCCTCCTTGGCCTTTTTCTTGCTCGAGATGAATGTGTGATGCCGATTTGCCGTCGCTATGCACCACATAATCCAATCGGGATATAAAGAACATGCTGATGGGTGGTTAAATAAGGTGGAAATCAGCATTGCCATCCTCTACTGCATCACTGACTCTATTTTCCTCCTCTTTCATGTTTCATTTTGCCCTCTCGACTCCCTCTCATTAACAGGCCTTCGTCACTTCGCCTCTGCCTCAATTTCTCCCTCGCAGGCATTTGCTACGTTCCTTTTCTCCTTTTCTGGTATCTCTCTGTCCTCGTCGCTTCTCTCTCCTCTCTTCTTTCGTTGATTGTCTGGCGGAGACCGAGCTGTCTGATCCCTCACTCTGACCGAACACTAAGGTGGGCCAGAAATGATCACAGAGCTCCATTGAATAGATCTGATGACTCGCTGCGTGTAAAAAGGCACTTCAAAGGCAACGTTGATAGTTATTGGGAAAGCACCTCCAAGCAATGACTTCATGGTGTACAG